GTATTATTGTTATTAGATAGGATCGAATCATTTATAGCTCTGAATTGTATCTATTTTAGCATTCGATTATAGTAAGTTTGTACGCAGTATGTTCATTACTATTTATTTATAGTAATTTCATTATTACCAGTTAAATTCTCAATCTAAATAATTGATCCATACCTATTAGCATTTGGATGTGGTATTATATTAAAAATTTCATCTCCATTATTAAAAGAAAATGTTACATCCACAATTTCTTCTCATAATTCCGACGTGACAGTTTATAATTAGTCAGCGGTCTCTCTTAGGTCTTACCTGCAATTGGGTTGATCGTATCATCTAGGTCCCATCTAATTAGACCTGGCAAAACGGGCGGATGGACCGGGTGTGGGTCAGGTCTAAACGGGTACGGGTCTCACGGGTACGGCCCAAAACAGGCCCAATATTTTAGACTCGCACCCTACCCTATGTAGGTACGGGTGGACCCGTGGGTGCCTATACTATTCACTCTAGTTTTAGATTTTTGCAGTTATAACCCCAAATCTTTTCTCCCAAGTTTTCTCACCAACCAAAACCAAACAGAAACCCAAAACCAAACGGGTGCCAATCACAAACCAAAACCATACACACAAACATTGTTTTCTCCCAAGTTTTCTCACCAACCAAACAGAAACCCAGAACTTAACAAAGAAAAAGATAAAAAAACTTGTATCAAGCTATAAGTATATTGATTTTCGACAAACTAGTATCAAGCTAAAGTCGAAGATAAATCGACTTAACCAGTATCAAAGCGAAGGTCAAATTGCACACAAAAGCCTCAAGATATGGTAAGAATTTACATATCTAAAGTTATTAGGAAAACTGGCCTTCACACCCTCGGTGGTTTAGGATTTCATCCAGACCTCACTTTCCTTACCCTATACTCCATTGATTCATACACTATTTTTTCTAAGGAATTACTTTACATGCTCTGGTACTCTTATGCCAGTATGATATTGGTATTTCCTCCCTGTTGAATAGACCTTAAATTACCTCTCCGACCTTCAGCAACCTTGGACAGACAAAAAAGATGGTCTTCAATGGTTTCATTCCTTATCGTGGTGGTTTTCTTCCTTCAAGATTTACTCCAACATTCAATGTTGCTAGATTGTAGTCAAGGAGAAGCTGAAGACGCCGGAGAATTGACTCCAAGAATTGGAGCTGCTGAAGAGTTAAGAGTAAAGACGAAGGAGATGAGATCAAATCGGCGACGGTGATACACATACCTTGATGCGCCGACAATGGAGACTAAAAACGTGGTTGATGAGAAGTAGAGACAGGAGAAGCGGCGACGGTGGAGTTAGGGATTTCGATGATGATGAGTTTGAAAGAAGGTTGATGAGAGAGTGAGTTTGAGTTAGGTTAGGGATTTTGCGATTTGGGGCAAAATGAAAAGGGGAAAGGGTTCTTTTTTTTTTTAAACACAAACGGGTACCTGTGGGCACCCGCGGGTGTACCCGCTTGACCCGTTGGCAAAACGGGTCAGGTACGGGTCAAAGAAAATGGGTCTAATATTAAAGACCCACACCCTATATTTTTTACCCGAGTTCCCGCGGGTCTAGACCCGTTTTGTCAGGTCTACATCTAATAAATTGTGGCTAATCAGTTGTCAGCTGTCACGTCAGAGTTGTAAGAAAAAGTTTGTGAGAAAAGGTTGTGGGTAGTATTACTCTTATTTAAAGCAATAATTGACCATTGCAACCCTCTCCATCCCTAAATTCGTTAACCTTTTAATATATAAGTATACAATAACAAATGAGATGCACCATTTACAAACTCTTATTTAAAGCAATAATTGACCACTGCAACCCTCTCCATCCCTAAATCCGTTCTCCTTTTAATATATAAGGATACACTAACCAATGAGATGCACCATTTACAAA